ACTACTGTATGTAAGCTTCTTCTCGATCTTGAATTCTCTTGTATGCATCTTTTCAATCTGTTATTTCGATTGAACTATATATTATCACTCAATGTTCAGTCTTTTTGATTAATTAACATTGTTAGCCTATCATTTTGATGTTAATGTAAATATATAACTACTTGGAGGTGTTAGTATATGTAAATTTGTACTAGACATTAGATTGATATGATGAGTCATGAGCAGTAATGATGGATGATGAAATTATTTTTATTTTGTTACATATTACTCATTGTGTTAGGCATATCTGAATAGGGAAATAAATAAGATAATACTATAACAATCTGCATTACGGGGTTGTTGTGAAGATTGTTAAGTTTTATTTGAAACCATGAATCTGATGGTTAGGCGTTCGCGCACAATACCGAAGGTCCTGGGTTCGAATCCTGCGGAGTGCAGGAGTCGTGGATGTGCGCTGCTGAGGAGTCCCATACCAGGACGAAACGGCTGTCCAGTGCTTCCAGGTTTCTAATGGTAGTCTGACATTGATCGATTCATGGTTTCAAATAAAACTATAACAATCATTTATTCAAATTATACTAGCTTCAGTTTTAAATTTTAATATATTTAAACTGTATCAATAATCTTTCTATAATCTTTCCAATAATTAATTCATAACTTGGGGTACAAAAATGTATGTATTTGTTCCTTACTCCTCATACTTTTGTATACATATTAACCATTCAAATCAATTTATCTTGATGGTTAGGGTCCGTGAAACAATAGTAATCATCGATAATAGGAGACTTTGAATGTCAGGAATCGAAATTATTTTTAATGGTACAGATGCATCCATTCTCTCTTTGTCTTCTCTCAAATCCTAATCTTCTGAATTCCTCATCAGCCTTATCTTACTCTTTTTGAAATTTATTTCACTGGCTCATACTTCTTGAACCAAATCTTCGATTCCTAGTTCTTTTGATTACCACTAATACTTCTACTACCTCAACTACTATGGAACTTGAGCTAACAATTCTATCTCTCTGTACTAATGTGATATGGTAACTTGAACAGATGTATGCACGTACGTACCTACGAAGTACTACTCTGTAGCTGACTCTAACTGACTGAATTCATCGTATCAGTTAACAATTTTTCGGTCAATTCCATCATAGGCATGAAAAGGATAACTAAAGAAGAAAATATTATTTTCAGGAAGAGTTTTGGAGGCTTGTGTTTTTACACATTTGAAATCATCAATCAATCATTGTTAGACTACCATCGGAAACCTGGAAGTACTGGACGGCCGTTTCGTCCTGGTATGGGACTCATCAGTGGCAGTGCGCATCCGCAACTCCTGCTCCTCGCAGGATTCGAACCCGGGACCTTCGGTATTGTGCACGAACGCCTAACCATCGGACCACTGGGCCGGCATCCAACGGTGGTCTAACAATGATTGATTGATGATTTCAGATGTGTAAAAATATTATTGTTTTCATTGAACTAAATTCTTTAAGCTGGATTCTTTAATCATACAAATGTTAGAATTATGCATCTAAACGAACAATATTATTTTCAAGTACATCGTCATCAGTTTATTCATATGAAAATGTTAAACTGATCAAGGCAGTGTATGTATATGTGTAAATCAATGATCACATTGGAAATAACTTACGTTGTAACTACGCCTAATAGGTAACAAAGCAAAGTACAAATTGATCGTAAGAAAGACAAGTAATATACATCTATATTAGCATGCAAATGTGTTTAATTTGTCAAGAGATGCTGCTTATATAATTTTTTTCCTTTAAAGATATCAAATTTTTATCAGAATTTGTTCTCATTAGATTTCATGATCTATTTTTTTCTTTCTAAAATCTCTCTCATCAATAATTTGTAGTAGGCTTTTTATTTTTTCCATAGACAATTCATTCATTCAACTAGTGAATTGAATGATTTCAAGTTGGTCGTTGAAATTCATAAAAAAATTTTTAGAATAGGCGTATCCAACTATTTATTCATTGTAAGGCTTTAATTAATTATTTACTTTTTTTTGTAGAGTTTAAAAATTTCCAGTTATTATATAAAATATGTAATTAAATCGATAAATTATTCATTGATGAGATAAAGTGTATACATGTATCTTCATAAAGTTTTATTTTAATGATAAGAAGTACATGTATATTTCCAATTTCATAAACGTAATCTTCTAATGCACTACCATTTATGATATTTTGTATGTTAGTGTGCTATCAATAAAATGGATAAAGGATTACATTACACGATAAGTGAATATTGTACTTATGTCAACCATATAATTATTATCAAACCGGAACCAATGTTAAGGAATGAAGTAGTTGAGTAATGCGATCCCTTCTCTTGTTCTGTGAATCTTATCAACCTTGCAATGTTGGTATCTGATGAAATCTGAACATGGATTAGTAGGAATCACACTTCTTACATCACTTGTGGTGTGAAACATGCACTCTCAAAGTAGAAGGAGACATTTGTAAGCTAAATTTGTTGGATGATAGATATATCAAAAGTAGTACTAGCGTCTTAAACTGGTGGGCGGCCTATGCTCCATTGGATGTAACAGGCGAAAGTAAGTAAATAACCGGTGTCTTGTTCGAGTTGCCATACCACGATAGCACAAAGACGCAATTATCGATTCAAATCCCATAGTGGTAGATGTAGTAAAAGTACGAGCAGTAATTAGGAAGACTATGGTTTGAAGATGTTATTCAAGGAGTATAATTCAGTGAAATAAATTTGTGGTGAGAAAGAGGAAAGTGATGTAAAATTCAGATTAGAATTTGGGAGAACGCAAAGAGTGGATGCACCTGCGCGCCATTGCAAACGATTTTCAGCCATGTCATTTAAGGTCTCTAACCATTGGGTACTATTATCTCGTGGACCCCAAACAAATAGCCCATACCTTATCAACATGGCTTAGTCCAGTTGTTAGTGACTTCATGGATTTGTGCCATGTTTTGATTTGGCCACTCTTAGCTTTCATCCAACCTACTCTTAAACCACAAAACATCGTTTGACGTGTTCAGTATGTGATTATTAATTACTGCCTACTTTGACAGCGAAAGTTTGACAGTGTGAGAGTAGGTTGTAAAGAAGGTTATGATGACCAGATCTAAGTCATGGTAACCAGTGGATGAAGTGACAGACTACTTTAGTGGTGTGAGTAGTATAGACGGGTTCAGGCTATCTATTTGGAGTGACTGTCATAATGATGATCGTTGAATGGAGACGTAGGATGACATACATTAAAGTCAGTTACAATATTGTGCGTGCCTTCACTCTTTATCTGGCTCTCAATTTGAATTGTGATTTTTCTACATACATACATCCCCATAATCTGTGTTTTTGATTGATCCATATTGTGGATGTTCTGTTTTTTCTTGTTTCAACTTCCTTTCTAATAATCCTTCTACATTCATTTGGTTCTGCTAATATATTCCGTTAATTTAAGTCGCTTAAAATTTTTGCTAGGCTCTGCATTGATCATAACTGGCTGGACTGAAGCTCTTTAATTTATTGACCACTTTTTTTCTTGATGATAGGCTAAATATAGCTATTTTTGGTTGGAGATGAGTTAGATTACTATTATTTAATAAAATAATCATGTTGTTATGGTTAAATAATACGAGCAATACCATAATATTTCGTCTGGTTTGTCTTGCACCTAGTTTAAAATATTACTGTCAATAATTCTGCAAAGAAAATCTCTCTTCCTCTCTCGATGAAATCATTCACTCCAGTTTTATACTTTTTTTTCTATCGTCCACTCTATGGAAGAATAGACACAGAATGAAAAAAAATCAACACCGATTACAAAACTACGAATCGAAAGCTAAATCATATGCAAATGTCGAGATTGCGATTGAATAGGATTCAAATGTACACATACATATACGAAAATAAATGAGTCATCAAATCATTTCAGCGACTTACATGAAAAGCTAGTCGAATGAGAATTTGTGCGTAGGCTGTAGCCAACGCTCAAACACAAAAACGCTACAATACTAAAAGTACAATGGTATAGACGAGTTGTTGCTGTTCGAATAATGCTATTCGGTAAATAAGTTTTAATAAAAGGACTTAACCAAATCAAGCGTGAAAAAAATGTTGGGTGCTAAAAATCATTTGAAATTATGAGATTAATAATCAAGAGTTAAGGGATACTACCCCTAACTCAGGTCTCATATGGTCGAAAAATGAAAATTTCGGAAATGCGAAAAAATCATTGCCCGACATGAGACAAAGGGTAATAGAAATGTTTGGGCCTATTTGCATCAAGCTGGGCTGCCTCTTCTACTATCCTACGCCATATATGTGTACACCATATGCTGTACTGCTATATAGAGCTGAAGGTCTCCTAAGAGACCAGAGGTTCGCTGTGAACATTGTGGATGGCTTGGCATTGCTTTGGTAAGCATTGTTATCAGTCCATATATAAAATTGGTTAGCAGGGCGACCGATTTCATTGATATAGATGGTTGTTTTGCAACATTCTCGAGGGTGCTATATTGCATATCACCATTGCTGATAATAATCAGTTTGACAGTCATGTAAGCGGGATGGATCGAAATGGCCTGTTCATGCGGTGCATATTGATTGACGCGATCACGGATCGGAAATAATCACTATATATGTACTAGTGTATATAAATGGTGTGAATGGTCCACCATGGTATCAAGTACCTGTGTGGTTGCACCACAAGATTGAGGCGGACTGTTCATGTAGAAATGGTAACACATGAGCAGTCTCCTTGGTTCTCCTGAAAACCAATGTATAATTGCCCTTGAAAATACAGGTTTAATTTATATAATATAATGTAATAATAATAATAATAATAATAATAATAATAACCAGAGTTAAACCATTAAAAGTCGTATGAAATATTTAGTTGACGATTGTGTTTTGTTTACTGATTAACTGTGATCACACCTTATATTAATATATAATGAGGATTAGTAGAACACAGTGCTAATAGTTAGGAAAGAATTATCAATTAGTGAGGTGTATGCATATTTTTACGTTACTAAATTGTAGGTAGAATATTCTAAAAAAATACATGAAGGTACATTTCTAGAGGCTGAAACCTGACATCAAAGCTGCATAAATAACACAAGGACTAGATTGGTTTAGTTTCAATTTTTTTAATAGCAATGACCTCATCGTAACATCGTGAGTACGAAGTTCTTTGGGTATTCGATTATTTTCTTTTCAACGCGTTTAAAATTTCATTATCAAGTAGATGATGAGGGATGGCATTAAATGAAATGACACGAATTTTTATCAAGCGATAATTAATTGAATCAGGCAGTGAATAAATTTTCCTTGTTTTCTATGTTTAATAACAATCGTATTACGAATGTATGTGAATATAAGACTAGACATGACAGGAATGTTTGAATAACATGAATTTCTATCTTGAAAAAGCAGTGTAATTGACTGTCTACATCAAACAAATTAGTTATTTTTACTATTCAAATAATTATTAACTTCATGGCCCTAAAGTTTGTCAAGTTAGAAGAAGCGATTGAATATAATTTTTTTGAAGTAAGGTTCTGAATCAAATGGTCTAATCTTAAGACAGCGACTAAACGCTGCCATAGAAAAAAAAATACTATGCTGCTAAACGGATTGTAATTAGAAAGACTAAGCCCATGATACCACATTGACCTAAACGTTGCTCGAATGATTATATCACATCCCACTGCATTCATCAATTTACATGTTTGTGTGGACAAACGTAAACAGGGAGGAGTAATCGAACTTTGCAATCAAGTCGCTTTAAAATGAGTTAACGTCAGATGAGCCGATAAACGTGGGAAATAGAAAACCATGTTCATCGATCGCGAAACACAGACAGAGCGAAAGGTTGACATTAAGACAGCCTTCAAAACATTGTATAGAAATGTTGAAGGACGGATTTTGAGGTTTATGGAAGCCTTCGTTATACGTACATTAAAACCCCTCTTATGTGTACAGAAACAGTTTGTTATGACCTTGAATTTACTCTGGCAATCTTTAAGCCTAGGGTAATGTGACAATTTTCCTACCCCTTATTCTATTCATATTACGTTAATTTTCTCTCTCCTTCATTTACAATTATCACCTTATGTCTATTTGAACTTTTAATTGATTGACCTTTTATGAATCTTCATATAAAATGCCTTGACAAGTGAATATGTGTGACCAGATTGTTCGAAATATGTATAGCGTAAATACATCACATTTTTCAGATCAATTACGTCTTCTCACAGTTCTATCAAAATCTTATTTAGTCAAAGTGTTACAGCTTTGAGAATGCTCAGAATATGATTGTTTTTCAGTGACTGTCTACATCTCTCAGAATTGAGATGTATACTGCATGTAATTGCAGAAATTCTATTTTCTCATTTTTGCATCTTATCCTTGTATATTATACTCTTTCAGGTCATATCTTATTCAGTACATATATCAAGGTGATATATGCAACTATAGAAATGTACTTATTTCCTAGTAAACATAATTTTTCCTTTATATGAACATATTCAATTTCTTAGAGAGCAGAATATACAATCGTTTCATAAGATTTCCCTTTTGTTCTTCATAAATTGACTAGTTGACTGAACATTTTAAAAGTTATGCAACGTGTATGCTTATTGATTTGATTGGGTTTGCCAATTCAAAAAAGACAAAAACACCTTTACTAAACAAATGTATGGATTTGTTCATTCTTCATCACTAAATTTATATGTATATATTTATGCCATAAACTTAGTTTACAGAAATGAACTCTTATGGAACACATCAGCAGTGCGCACTCACGACTCCTGCACCTCGCAGGATTCGAACCCACGACATACGGTCGTGCGCGCGAACGCTTAACCTCTGGAGCACTGGGCCGGCATTCAGCGGTGTTATTGTGTAACGCTGCTCAATCTAAGGTTTTTGCGTGACCTCACCCGTTTGTCTTTAGTAGTTACTGCCTACACCCAACAGGGTTAAACTCCACTGGTTACGTCTTCTCACTAGAACTCCGAGAATTTCCTCATGAATCTAGTCATTAATGAGTATATTGTACGACTTTTTCAATTAGAGTTATGGAAATCAGTATTTTCACACATTGAAATCATCAATCAATCATTGTTATAATAATTCTTTATTTCAGGTTTATTTGATCAACCAGTATTTGTAGCAAGTGGTAATAAACCAAACACTGTACTATCATCATCATCAAATCGATTGTCCATAAGTGGAAATCAAACACCAGTTAATCTTATTAAACACAATGAATATAATCAATTAGAGCATGGTATACATCATTTATGTAAAGATAATGAACTTGAAGGTTCTAATATTCTACTTGGTATCGGTTTAAATGATACTACAACAAATGTAACCTCGATTACATCATCTCAAAATATGTATGATATTGATTCGAAAGGTGGAGCACAAGAGGTAAGTGTTATTGTTTTTAACTCACTCACATATGGTTGGTTATTTTGTAATATTATTCAAATATAATAGACTAAACATAGGCTTGATTCATTGTTTCTTGTGTATATGCTGAGATAAATTCAACAGTAATGACATCTTTAGGTTCTTTGAAAACTAATATTGTATGCTCTATAGGTATGTTGAAAAATGTTGTTGCTCAGATCTTTTATAACATCAAATTAAGTAGTATCTATTCTAGAGTTGTGTAACTAGTGTTAACAAAATCACAATAACATCTAATTCTCTGTTTCTTTGAGCTATACAAACACTAAATGCTTACATTATTTATTGGGAAACATCATGCACTGACAATGACTGAAGTACACAATACACAAAATATACACTTTGTTTGCATTCCTACTTATAAACCTACTGTTTACGATTCTTATTACTATTATTATTATACGTGTTGGAGAATAAATCTGCAAGCACTGGATTCAAGTCCTGTTGTGAAGAGCAACATTCGGGTGCAGCTACATTTAAATGACAAGTCCGAGAGATGGAGATGTTATGCTCGTCAATTGATATGCTTGAATTATTACGAGTTCACCTTAGTCGGTAAACAAGAGCGAAGACAATGATCCATCGATACGATAGGCTACTCTAATCCGAGCGACCCAAGCCCCCACTAACGGTATCAAAAAGTTTTGATATGGCGTCGAAAGTGTATTCTACAAGCACTCAGAAAATATGAGGGTTTGTACAGAAGAAGAAGAGGAGCATAAAACTTTACAGACAATGCATATTCATTCAGTTAGGTCGACCGTGAATACTAACCAATAGGAAAAAGCATTTAAAAGTATGTGAACTTGATAGTTTAGGACGACGTTGAATATTGACCAATAGAATTAGGCTCGAAAAATAATTTTTTTTGAGGATATTTGATGAATATCATAACAGGAGGAAATTGTGTTTTGGATTTCACTGCCAGTCAGTATCCAACTTCACTTACGAAAAAATTGCTCATGATCACATGGCAGCAATGAGGTATATATGTGTCAAAAGAGATTAATTTATTGCAGTCCTTATTCTAACATCAAGAATAAAAAGATTTAAATTCTTACATTTCAAGTGGGTCGATGTTCTGTTGAAAATATTGAATTCCATGTGTAAAATGTTAATTTTTAGCAAGCCTGTTTGCAAATATGTTTGAAAAATCTCGACGAATTGTAAAAAATTGGTTTCTATTAATCTTGACATTTAACAATGTAGTTATAATCAGGTTAGCTATAATACTCAGTCAATTTTGAGATGGTGGAGAAAATTTGTAGCTTAGGTGGATGATTGTTGTGGTGTTTCGTTCTCTGAGCTTGATATTTCGGATATTTTGCATCTTTCTATTCGACGTTTGTGCTGATGATGTTGTTCAGAAGAACAACGAAAGCTCCGCAACTGAAAGACCCAGCTCAGAAAATACAACACCTCAACAATCAGTCGATTTTTAATAAACTGTTGTACCACTAAATTAGTTTACAAAACAATTTCTTCCCTGTATTCTATTAATCAATTCGTTAGTCATATAAGAACATTAGAACTTAGCATATAAGTACTACCTACCTACACCTGTTCTTTAATTAATTTATTTGCTCTTCTCGTAAACGAAGACTCGTATTGACTTCATTTACTGGAGACTAATTTAATTACTCCGTTGTTAATAATCTTGACTGGATGTGAGTCATGGCGTGTACAGATGAATTCTGATTAAGATGTAACAGACTTCCTCTATTCCCATTGTTAACGACCATCTATTGATTGTATAAAAATGGTGATGCCAAATACATTGTCATTAATTAGTTCCCGTTTTCGCATTTGTTTTCATTCTTTACTATTCATTATTATTTTAGGCGTGTGTATCGCATAGTTTTCGACAAAGAATATTACAAAAGAAATCAAAAAAATTACAAAAACTACGTGATAATTCTACGCTGGTATGTTCTTACTTGATTTTCTAACCATCAGTTCGGTTATTTATTCGATATTAATGTGTTTATTACAATTATTATGGTGGCGTTTCTTCTTCTGAACTGGGATGGTTTGGTTGTGGAGCTTTCATTGTTCTTCTGAATGACATTATCTCATCAACATGAACTTTAGGTTGAAGTGATGTGTTTGAATTTCGCCACATATCACTGTCAGCTTGTCCTGTTGTCCTCAATTGTGATTGGTTATTGTTGACCTTTAACCTGTCATTATCTGTATCGTTAATATGATTGTATCCCCTTAGTCCTATATTTGTCCATGATTTTTCTGTTTAGTTGGTAAATTGGATAGATTTTGATGTTTCTGTTGATGATAACCAATGTTCTTAGTATTTTCCCCTATTCCAAATTACGGCATTTTTCCAGCCGAATATGTCCACAGTTATTTACACTCACTGATATGAAGGAAGATGTTTCATATGGCGCCAGACACCTATATGTGGAGAAATTCGAATGTTTTGCATAGATTTCACTCCGTTGATTCCAATGATATCTCAACAGATTTCAATCCTATCTCAGAACTCACCTGTCAATATTGTCTCAAAAAAAAACATACAGTTTATATAAATTACCGATGGTTTTAGTGAGACTGTGGTACATACATCTGTTGAAGAATTGGATTCCCCAGCGAGAGTTTTTATTGAGAAGAAAATTCTCTATATATTAATGTTAAGTCCAATCACTTTGACTGGACTGGTGATTTTTATGATTACAATTGACTGAGCACACAGATTACTACTTACTACGTCTGTGGTGCGCGCTACTTATAAGTAGTATATGACGCGAGTGTAAACGTAATGTCTGGCAGCAGAAGATGAGGGAAGATCAAGAAAAGAAGAAGAGTGGGAACACAATGGAATTTGTATGAAACGCATGAATAGTGAGTGAAATGTCAGACAATGGATTGATGACGATGATGAAGATTTGCAAATTAACGGTTTACGATATGGTTTTCCTATTTTACTGAATAACTCTGTAATTTTCGTTGAATACAATTCGGTTGCCCTCACTTGTATTCTCCTTCACTACACATCTCGTAGTCATTGCCTTATCTATGCTTACCAAATGGATTTCTGTTCAAAATTTGTATATTATTTGGTAAACGTTTTATAAACACGTTCAACCATAAAATAATAAATAATACACTGGCATTTTCCTATCCATTGTGTTATTAATAGACTTTTCTTCTTTGTATTTTATGGCATTTTCAATATTTCCGGGCCTGTTCACAGCATTAAAACAATTCAATTTTTCAATGTCTAATAAAAATCAATATCTTCGTCTATCATCAACATCATCATCACCATCACCATTATTATTACTACTACTACTACTACTACTACTACTACTACTACTACATGAGATACTGTTTTTTTTTTCTTTTATAACTAACTCTTCCAGATAAAATTGATATTATTAATCAGAATTTAAGCTAAAAAAAAATATTAAATTGTCTAATCCTGATATCGGCCGTCAAATGTCATTTTTGGTTTATACTGGTTGTGTTTGTTTGTTGAGTTTTGTTTTTCGTTTTAAAGTACGAAATCATTATCAAGTTTTTTTCTCCCTATGGAACAATTTAATATTCATTAAGTTATTATTATTATTATTATTATTGTTATTATGATTAATAACTCTTACATAATCATCATTAACAAAAAAAAAGCCGTCATTCAAACATTTACTCATTCATAATTAACTTGGTTTTTGTATAAACATTATATAAGTGTATGGAGTGATGGACACAAAACAAGTGTGCCATTTTTTGTATAGACTGCTAGAAATTGTAAAAGAAGCAACAGTGAACTGATTTAGTTTTGTAGTCTGAAATGTAAATTGTAGTTTTAAAACAGATATACTTTTGGTTACGTTAAAGCCCCAGAACTCACTTGATAAAGGTTCTAATTTTGGATTTTATGTTTTCGCGCATGAGCAGATCACTTGACCTTGAGATTATATTTCCCACCAGGAAAATCCTTGACTGTTATTGGTTGATGGTTCTCCCAAGGACGTTTCAATCATGTATAAATAAACTCGATTTGTGTGCTTGTTGACCTCATATTTTCTGGGTGCTTTTAGAATACACTTTCTACGTCTTTTCAAGACTTCTTCTTCTACTTAGTGGGGCCTTGGAACGTTCGGATTAGAGTAGCCTATCGTGTCACTGGATCATTTGTCTTCAATCTCGTTTACCGATTAAGGTGAACTCATAATAGTTCAAGCATATCAACTAGTGGCAAACACAACATATAGCTTGTAATGTTTTAGTCATTAAAAAAAAGCTTTTTAAAAGTATGCAGATAAGCGCATTATTATTGCAATCTATGTATTCTAATAGTATACTTAAAATGAACAAAGTTTAATGCGTCATTTGAGTGTATAATATAGTTAGTTCTATATCGACTACATATTCTCCATTGAGTTTGAAAACCAGAACGTATTGTACAGCCGTTTCGTCCTAGTATGGGACTCAGCAGAGCTCATCCACGAAGGTTACGCGTTCGCGCGAAAGACAGAATGTCGTGGGTTCGATTCCTGCGAACGAGGCTCTTGGATGAGCAACACTGAAGAGTCCTATAATGGGACAAAATGGCCATCCAGTGCTTCTAGGCTTCTAATAGTGGTCTCATGATGATCGATTCCTGATTTCAATAATAAATAATAACCTCTATAACTCTATAATGAAAAATATATCGTCAATAACTAAATCAACACCTGAATATTTATCATCTATTTTAATTGAAATGAATATCTTAGGTGAAAATTCTACAACTATGATTAAAATTAATGCACTGCTGTTTTTGTCCAGTTATTGATCTATTTGGATTAATTATTTCATTTTATAAATTTTCATAGAACAATGAGAAGATGGAGTTGATTTGAAAAATATCATGTATATGCGTTATAATACATTTCGAACAATCTGGTCACCTATGTACACTTATCAAGGCATTTTTTATATTAAATGAAAGTTTGAATAAACATAAAGTGATAATTGTAAATAAAGGAAAGAGTAAATTGGCATGCTATCTAGAGAATAAGGAAATTATGACATAATCCTAGGCCATAAAATGGCATATAGATTATCAGGATGAGATCAAGGTTACGACAAATTGTTTCTGTAAACATAAGGTGGATTTTAATTTACGAATGACTAATTCCTCTATAAACCTAAGAATTCATCCTTCACAATGTCTATATAACGTTTCGAAAGCTGTCGTGATGTCAGACCCATGCCCCGTTTCATTTATGTTTTGCTATTGATGAACGTAGTTTCCTATTCCCCGCCTTTATCGTGTTGTTTGACTGACATTAAGTGATTTTGAAGCTATCTAGGCACATGTTCCTTAAACTTTGCTTGTATTGTCCGATTACTTCTCCCCATGTATGTGTGCCCACACAAACATGCATACATAAACACTTTTCTTCTAGACAAAATTAACGAGACGTCTTTGTATTCACTAACTTTTACACCTATTTATAAACTATAGTGGATAACCGTTTGAAATCAACTTTTCATTCAAGAGTTTAGCATGGTCTTCAAATGTATCAGTACAGTTATCACCACCTTATATGTATTTGAACGTTTATTTAATTGACCTTTTATTAAGTTCTATATAAAATGTCTTGACACAATTAGGTGTGACTAGATTGTTCGAAATGTGCAGCGTATATTCATGACATATTTCAGATCAACTCTATTTTCGTTTATCTTTTCTTGTTGTTTTACACGTATACATATTTTCTTCTTTCATTTAACTAGTCCAAAGAAACATCAAACTCCTCCTTGTCTAGTTTACAACAATCAGAGAGTAATTCAAACCAATTCAATTCTGAAACAATCAATAATTCTAATTTAACTTCAGATGGTGACAAATCCTGTAAGTCTGTACCTCAGTTTTTATTTTCTAGACTAACCCTGAATGATAACATGATGTTTTTTTTTAAATGATGGAGTTAAGAAATTTATCATAGGCTTTTTTTTCAAAGTAGTTCATTAAAAATTGAATAAGCCGTAGTTTTGTCAAGTACTAAGTTTTTTCGTTATACTGATTTTTATTAATGTTACGTTTCATAATGCATAAATATGCTTTTACTAGTTTACTTACTTCATCAGTTGTGGTGGTTGGGACATGTGTTACGAATTTCCAACCAACGACTGCCTCGATGGGCGATGTTTTATGGTGTAGGAGTAGGTTAAAAGAAAGCTAGGGGTGGCCAGACCATAACATGGCATCAATCTATGGAGTCACTGACAGCTGGACTGAGCCATATTGATAGGCGTGGACTATTTGGTTGGGGTCCACGAGACGAAAGTCACCGATGGTTAGAGATCTTGAACGACATGGCTTAAAATCATATGCAGTAGCGCAGGTGCATCCATTCATTGTATTCTTTCGAATTCTAATCTTCTGAAATTCCTCATCACATTTATTTTTCTCTTTTAATATTCAATTCACTGGATTATACGTCTCGAATTACATCTTTGATCCTTACTCTTTTTGCTTATCGCTAATTCTTCTAGTACCCCTTCTATCATGGGATTTGAGCTGAATATTCCCTCTGTCTGTGCTAATGTAGTATGGCAACTTGAACTAATGTACGTACGCACCAAGTTTTGCGTTGTTGCTGACTGACTGATTGACTCTCAGAGTCAATATAAAAAACTATTTCACATAGCAGTGTCGAGTTGTCCACTTCTTATTTTCAACGACTTAGTCCACAATAAACTTTCCTATATTGTTCAGAGCTGTGATCATCAAAACTGAACTTCAAAGAGATAAAGATTAGATAGATATACATGACATAGCGGATTAGTTTATAAAGTAGTTAATATTAATAAACATTATTTATAATAGTTGATTAGAGGTTGTTCGCAATACCGCCAGTGTATTTACTTTTTGTGTGTTGCATTAAATCTTAAGTTTTAAAATTATCTCCGTTTTTTTCTTTGACGCATTCATTTTCCAATTACATTGTCTAAACGTAATCGTAACTATTACTACTACTCTAAGGTTTGTCTTGTGAATTTCATTTCTCTCTAATAATGTAGTTTAACGTTTTTATAATTATACCAGTCAGTGAGTCAGTCATTTACAACGTAGAACTTCGTACATGAGTACATAAGTTCAGGTTGCCATACCGCATCAGCACAGAGACGCAACTGTCAGTTCAAATCCCATAGTGATAGTGATAGTAGAAGTATTAGCGACAATGAAGAAGATTAGGGTTTGAAGATATGATTCGAGAAGTTATAATTAAGTGAGATAACTTTGGAAGGAGAAAGATAGAGATGATTAGGAATTTAGAAGGTTAGAATTTGACAGAACACAATGAACAGATGCACCTGCGCCATTGCAAACGATTTTGAGCCATGTCATTCAAGGTCTTTAACCATCGGTTACTTATCATCTTGCGGACCATAACCAGGTAGCCTTCATCTATACCACACTTTCTAAGTTATTTAAAACCAACCGATAAAATGAATTTACATTATTCTTGCTTAATAAAGAAAACTATAATTTTTTGAAGTAGTATTTTTTTCTTTATATTATCAGTTGAGTTACATTAAGATCACTTCAACTGGTATAATAATTGGTTTAAAACAGACTGGTAACTTTTTGGTTAGTTCTCAGGAGTTTTTATTCTTAGCTTGTAACTATTGAAAAACTGGTCGGCGGCCTATTATGCTCCATTGGGGGTAACAGGCGTAAGTAAGTAAGTAAGTAAGTAAGTTGTAACTATTGAACAAGCAATAAATGATTATTCTGATTGGTGGTTTTCACTTAATCGTTTCTCTCTCTCTCTCTCTCTCTCCCTCTCTCTTGTATTATATTTGAAGACTCTAGACTGGATTCTGGTGAACATCCTCCAAGTCATTCAACATGGCCACCTCCATCATCTAACAATGCTCGTATGAGTTATCCTTCGAAATTCGACGAAACTTCGCCTAAATTAAAATCAGGTTATACACCTCCTAGTAGTGGTGGTGGTGGTGGTGGTGTGTCTTTATTACCTCAAACCAGACGTCGTTTACCAGCTGAAAATTCTTTATCAAAAGGTTCACGTTCTACTAGTCAAAATTCTGTCAATAATAATAATAATATTAATAATACGAATATCAATCCTACTGATTATTCAAATTTAGATTCAAATGAGTAAGTTAAACATTTTAAAAAAAAAAATGTTTTCTCTTGGTTTTATATTGGTTCAATTTAAATCTTCAATTAAAATCTTATAATTGTCACAAATTCCATTTTGTTTATAACTGACTAAAGAAATTTTACGGAATTATCGAAAAGGGTTTATTATAGATGCTTTTAAGGATTTTTTTTTCATATTCTTGATATTTATTCCGAAGATAGCTTATTCTACAGATTGACTTTGGCTTGACGATTATTGTAAATGCGATAACGGAAATCATTGATGTAAACGTATCTTTGATTAAATTTTTTCCCGGGACAAATCTTTGAAGCATTGCTCTTGTATCGTGAGACAACCGAGTAAGTAATGAGATAGTTAGGAAATGAGTACTAGATAGGGAAGTAAGATCAGTTGATGAAGTAGTGAAACTTCATCAGTTGACGTGGTTAGGACTTGTGTTACGAATGACCAAACACCGACTTCCTCGACGAGCTATGTTTTGTGAAGTAGGAGTAGGTTGGAAGAAATCTAGGGGCGGCCAAACCAAAACATGGCAGAAATCCATGAAGACACTAATAAGTGAACTGGGTCATGTTGGTAGATGTAGGCTACGTGGTCGGAGTCCGCGAGACGAAAGTCCCCAATGGTTAGAGACGTTGAACGACATGGCTCAAAATCGTTTGCGATGGCGCAGGAGTATTGATTCATTGTGTTAGAAAGAAAAAGGTGGAGGTGCTGACGTGTCCAGAAGATTAGGATTTGAGAGAGCTCAACGAATGGATGCACTTGCGCCATTGCAAACGATTTTGAGCCATGTCGTTCAACGTCTCTAACCATTATTGGCTTTCGTCTCGCGGATTCCAACCACGTAGCCTTTATCTACCAACATGACTCAGTCAACTTGTCACTGGCTTAATGGATTTCTTCCGTGCTTTGGTTTGGCCTCCCTTAACTTTCTTCCAACCTACTCCTACACCACAAAACATAGCTCATCGAGGCAGTCGGTGTTTGGTCATTAGTAACACATGTCCCAACCACGTCAACTGATGAAGTTTCACCACTTCATCTATTGATCTGCCATCCTTACCTAGTACTCGTTTCCTGACGACGAGCAATGCTTCTAAGACATCTGTGATCGAATACTAGTAACCTACAAACATCTTCAACTCTTCTCGAATCTCGAATCATATCTTCAAACCCTAATCTTCTCCATTACTGCTAATACTTTTGCTATCTCTCCCACTATGGTATTCGAACTGACAGTTGCGTCTCTGTGCTGATGCGGTATGGCAACCTGAGCTTATGTACTCATGTACGAAGTTCTACATTGTAACTGACTGACTGATCTTTGATCAATTATTCGAAATGTGCACCGATTTTGTTTTTACATTGTCCATTTGTCCGAGGAAGGTTTTATATGTGAAGGCGCTTGGATTATTATTACGGTTAATATTCTTTTCTATATCGTTTTTTAATGACTTTCTTCATTGTTTTTTTTTCGGTATTTTTTTCTCATAGATCAATAATGAACTCCAATCCTCATTGTACAGACAATCTAATAATCACATCTGGTAGTAGTAGTGGTGGTGATACATCAATGAAATTAAGTGATTATGATAAGAATCCTTTGCCAGATAAACCATCATTACTCAATAAAGTTCGTTCATCAGCTAGTCTTGTTAGCAATTCATCACCACAAACATTACCTAATGCTTTAAGTTTGATCACATCCAATGATTGGGAAGATAAAGTAGCTGGATTAGAATTATTAGCACAAATTGTTACAGAACAATCGATACATTTAGTACAAACCACACAAACTACTGGTTCAGCATCAGCTGGCTCATCGAGACAACCTGCAACAACAAGCCTATCTTCTAGTTCAGCTCCAACCCTCATACTTACTACGGAAACGCTAAGTCAAGCTGTACAAGCTGTTATCACTGAATGTAGAAATCTACGTTCTCAAGTAATAAACATTATTTCTTTAATAATTGATAAACTGTTCCGATTCTTTTTTAATAATGTTTTCACATTCTGAGTGTCAAATTTATGGTGATATTGTCGTATGACGTCAAACACCATTTTTTGTCTAGTAGTACAAGGCACTAGATATCACGTAAATTGCATCACTCTTATGTGTTTGACGTTTACACCTTCCATACACTTTATATTTTTGTTACTGATAAATAAGCAAGGATGGTTTGTTTTTTTTGCGAATTTCGGTCTTGTACCACTGTGTGGTGGGTACAACGCACGACGTGGTTTATAAGTAGCATGTAGCGGAGAGTGTCGCCCAGAAGTAGTTATTACTGACGAGAAAAGTGTCAGATTTAAGATGTAGGGCGAGATCAAAGTGTTTTGAAGACTAGAAGACATTTGAAAGAAGGTAGCCAATAATATGCTTGTTTTGTAAATGGAAGTACACATTTTCTAATACATTGGTTGTGTCTTCTTTGAATAAATCACGTACTCCGTTTGGTCTAAACGTTGGTCTAATCGTTCATACACTACAATTAGAAATGATATAACTCACTAACTTAGCTGACCTTTTTAATTAAAGGATACATGTTGGATACACTAGGATACTCTACTAATAATTATCCAGATCTGGAGCTTTTAGAAAGTATGTTCAGAATTTTCATCACTTCAGTGTGGCTCTTAGTTAGTATTCAGTATTTGGGACAATGCCCTCATTCGAAAATTCTTTCCTTTAATCAACCAAACTCATTTTAGTGATAAACATACTCCATGAGATCTGACGGTACTGAGGTCATGGATCCGCGCTGCTGAGGTGTCTCTTTTTCGGTGTAGACAATTGTCCAGTGTTCTTTTGTTAAAAGGGAAGTAGTGATTCAGTGGTTAAGGCCTTAAAATTTTAGCGACTGACTCGCAGATTCGTACATTTTGTTTCCTAATTTAGTTTGGACAACGGGGTAGTATCACTTGTAGTGTGTACTAAAAGGTCGAGCTCATGTGGCCTGCCCTAGCCTTTGAACAGATTAGTTAATCTATCCTTCTTCAGTTTTTCACACATCTCTCTATTGTTTACCTAGTATTGAATCAGCCTACTCTCCTCCGCTCCACTTCACTTCTCTTTGTTTTCTTTCTGCTTGGGATTTTAATCACTGTGTCACACAAACGGGATTCTCCTACGGAAATTGAAGGGAAGATTTATTTCATGGCCTATTCAATTGTTCGTCCGAAGTGGTGAGGGGGCCAACTCAATATGATCAGGCATGATTAAGTATGTATTGTTAGACAAAAATAAACTAGACATGTGATAAGCTACGTAAGCACTGCTCACACAAACTTAAATAAAAATGGCTAAGATCTTAAGCAAATAATAATTGACAAGGTCAGTTGATGTGGATAAAGGTTCATTAGTTTACTTAAAAGCTAGGATAGGTCATTTGGATTCGACATACTAGTACATACAATATCTTCACATTTAAGGTATGTTTTAATATCAAGTACACGAAGCTGCTTTACCTAGTTTGATTCTGTCCACCAAATTAAAGTCTGTATTTTGGGACAGAGTTTCGGAGGTTTGCGCACCGCTGATAAGTCCCATACCAGGACGAAACGGCCGTCCAGTGCTTCTAGGTTTCTAATGGTGGTCTAACAATGACTGATTGATGATTTCAAATGTGTAAAGTCTTTATCTAACATTCAGATATGTTACTAGTGAACTTGTTTGGTGTATGGCTAACCTATGATGAGTCTGACATGTTTACTCCTACTGGTATCACTCGATATCATATTATCTCCTCCCTCCTAGATTATACTCGACTTTATCCAATGAGCTGTGCAGTTTTTCTCTATTCAACTCTAAGGGATTTAACGTTCTAGTAGCTTTTTTTTGTAGTCACAGTTTTGAATTATCACTCATCCACAAGTAACTCTTCTATTTAAAGTTGTCTACCATTATTTTAATCATATTTCAAAATATATTTGATGTTTACGTTTAATGTGTTCAACTATTTACATATAATTTCAATAATGTAGTCCAGTTTGCTACATGATCCCTTCATTCATCTGTTTTCCTTTTCTTCATAATCATGTCAATGGAAAGGTTTCACGTCAAGCTGTACAAACTATGGGTAGTTTATTTCAAGGTTTAAACAGAGCAATGGATCCACATGTCGATGTGTGTATACGTGTATTGTTGACTAAAACTGGTGAAGCAGCTGCTGCTTTTCTACGTGATGAAGTCTCTGTAATAATGGATGAAGTTATTCAACATGCTAGTCCATCACGTACATTACAAGCTTTAATTCAACATGGTATTGGGTAAGTCTAAAATTTCTAAAGGTAGTTAGTTTGTATTGTTACGCTTGATAGCATAATATATTGTATGTAAAATGAATCAGTGTCACTTGAGTTAGGATATCTTTTGAATAAAACTATTCAATCAGTTAATCTCCCTGCCTATGCACCCATTGTTTAGACCAACTGTAAATTAATAGTTCATCTTAATTGTGCCCTTCCCAGCCATACAGGATCGTGGAGCTGTTTGGTTTTTCTGGATTAAACAAACCATCTGTATTTCAAATTACTTACTTACTTAGGCCTGTTACCCCTAATGAAGCGTAGGCCGCCGACCAGCATTCTCCAACCTACTCTGTCCTAGGCCTTCCTCTCTAGTTTTACCCAATTGTTCATTCTTTTCATGTCTGCTTCCAATTCTCGGAGTTATGTGTTTTTGGTCTTCCTTCTCTTCCTTTGACTTTGAGGATTCAAAGTGAGGGCTTGCCTTGTGACTCAGTTGGGCGGTTTCCGAAATATGTGTTCTTCCTCAGCTGGAATCTTGTTTGTTCCCCTCCCCTAGTAGGTTGTTGTTGATGGTGTTTGTCCAACGTATTCTCAGTATTTTGTGTAGACAACTGTTAATAAACACTAGTATTTTGTGGATGATAGCTTTCATGGTTTTCCAAGTTTCTGCTTCATTCAATAGAACTGTTTTGACGTTTGTATTGAAAATTCTGACTTTGGTGTTGTTTGATAGTTGTTTTGAGTTCCAGATATTGTTCAACTGTAGAAATACTGTCGTTTCTTGGCTAATCCGCATCTTTACATTGTCATCAGATCCACCTTGTTTAACAATGTTGCTGCCCGAGCATGTAAAACTTTCGACACCTTCCAAAGCTTCTCTATAAAGAGTGGTTTGTTTGGTGCATATTTGTTGTATCAGATGATCTTGCTGTTTCTCTTGAGTGTGTTCAGATCTACTGCTGCTGAGCTTGCATCTAAGTCGGCCGTCTTCTCCTGCATTTTTCGTTGTGTGAAGGATAGAAGGACTAGATCGTTTGCAAAGTCCAGACCATCTAGCTTCATTGGAGCTGTTCACTGTATCCCGTGCTTCCCCTCAGATGTTCACGTCTTCATAATCCAGTCGACCACCAGAGGAAATAGGAAGGGTGCGAGTAAGCAACCTTGTCTGACAGCGGTTTTTCCTTGGAATGAATCTGTGAGCTGCTCTTCATGCACGATTTTGCAACTTAGCCCATCATAAGAATTCCGTATGATTTTCACTATCTTCTTAGGTACACCGTAGTGTTGAACAAGCCTCCATAATATCGTCCTATCCACGCTGCCAAATGCTTTCTCGTATTCAAGAAAGTTGATCTATTGTGGTGAGTTCTATTGGAGTGATTGTTCCGCGATGATCCGTGGTGTCACTATTCGATCAGCACACGATCTATCCTTACAGTCTGTTGGTTTCGAAGTTGGTTGTCTATTGAATCTCTCATTTAAGCTAACAACACTCATTGGTGTTGAGAGTAGAGCGATGCTTCTGTAGTTCTCCCACTTGTTGAGATTTCCTTTCTTCAGTATCTTGATCAGGTGTCGTTGTTTCCAGTCTGTTGGTATTTGATCTTTCTCTCAAATCTTGCTAGAGCATCTTTGCAGTTACCGCCTTCAATGTGTCAGTTGAAATGTTATCTTGTCCATCTGCTTTACCACACTTCATTTGTCTGATGACCACGCTGATCTCCTCAGTTATTGGTGGGTCAACATTAATTGAGAGGTCCGTAGGTGCTGCTTCGATGTTTTACGACATAACAAAAGAATCATGATGCTACTTACATAGATAATATAGGATATCTGACACTGAAATTAGGGAAGCCACTCTTACTAACTGCCCTATAATAAGTAGTAGTTTATACTGAGTATCCTGACTGAAATTAAGAATAAAAAATGGTTAAGTAACATCTGTTGTATTAAAGGTTAAAAATCATCTCAACCACATTTTAAAACAGAAGCTTTATTTAATAAAGGAAAGAATAGGGCTACCTTTAAGTAAATCAATTTTAAAAGATCATTATCAGAAACTATTTAGTGCTACTATAAATACAGTTTAGGTGGAAACGTAATTTCAATGCTTGAACGAATCTAACTCTTAATCATGATGAACTATTCTGTGAACTTATTTCGGATACTGCAATTGACCTTCATGAATCTATTCAAAGATTTCGGTTTCATCCCAAACACTGAACACTCTAGGCAAAGTATACTTATTTTTCAATATAAAAAACTGGATCGCAAGATTATTTGAATAAGGAAAGTGCTATCTAAAAGAATATTATTCATCCATGCATATTTTTTGACACTTGCGAATATATTACTTATACTTATATATCATATTACTTATATCTCACATTATTGTATACATTTTTTTTTACCTTTTAAGTCATAAAAATGCAGCTGTTCGATTACAAACAGCATTACTTGTTTCTCGTATCGTCGAGCACTTGAGTAATCATGGCCGCATGAATTTATCAAATCGCAGCAATATTACTCGTGGATCTGGTAGTAACAGTAGTAATACTAACATTGGTCGTTTATCATCATGGGGTTCAACAGGAAACTTGAATACTGTCTCTTCAGCTACTTTATCTTCATCGAATTCAGTTTTTCTAGGCGGATTTATGGAACGTTTAGTAAGCGCTGTTAGTCAATTTCTGACTGATGGAAATCAAGAAACACGGTAAGCTGGCTATGTGTGTGTATGATATGTAAATTTTTATTCGTCGTTTTTCAGTCTACCTTAAAGTACTATCTGTAAGTAATTTCTGGGAAGACCTCTGATTACTTAATTTGCTTTATTTTGTGAGCAAATAGTAGTTTTGATTTGTTAGGGAACCCTATGCAACTTCTTTTTAATTCAAATACTTTAATTTTCATGTTTGTTTTCTTGCTGGTTACTTTTGATTTTACTTTGCTGCTTATCAAATGCCATAACCTGATATTTGTAGCTACATAAAAGGTGTTGCTCTGTCACAAACACGATTTCTTTGAAATACCACTCTTTTTACCGGGCTACTGATTTTCTTTCTTCATCGTGTGAGGGACGTGTTGTGAGAGTTAATCATCCTATTAGAAAAATCACCAGATCTCTCGTTAGTTCTGTTTACTATCACAAGCTATCCTCCCAACGGAGAACACTTACAAGAAATAATTAATTCTATTAACTTCAAAATTGATCTGCATGAATGCTTAAAATATAATGAACGAGTCGAGCTCATCGAACGCTTTACTTATCTTAGGAACCCCACCAACTCCTGCAGATGATTTGTCTAACTAAATCGCTATATTTATTCAGATATCTCACTTGGCTTCCATTTCTTACTGCGTAAGTGAGATGCTCATCTTCCAACTAAAGAGTATGTGTGCTGTGCAGGATAACCTAGACGTTACCTAAGGTTGTGAAAATTGACATTTAAAAGTACAGAACATACATCAGTCACTACTATTTGGGTTTTAAGCACCTTCGAAGCATTTTTTGGACAAATCCAGATCATTAGATAGGCATTAATGAGGTTGAATACAGGTTACTAGAATCCGTTACAATGGAATAACGTTGTAACTGTTTATTTTCGTTTCAATTTTGTATTCCAGTGTCGCTTCGTGTATACTTTTCCACCGTCTGTGTTTGTATTACGTTCTCTTTATTCACATCTTCGCTACTGCATTATTTCGCCCCTATATGACAACCGCAACTAATACGCCAGTCAGAATATAAGATATTCGTAGGTTACTGGTTTTCGATCATAGATGTCTCCGAAGCATTGTTCGTGTATGCTTGGACAACCGAGTAAGCAATGCTGTTGTTAGGAAACGGGTCCTAGGTAAGGATGGCAGATCAGTAGATGAAGTAGTGAAACTCCGTCAGTTGAGGTGGTTGGGACATGTGTTACGAATGCACAACCACCGACTGCCTCGATGAGCTATGTTTTGCTGTGTAGGAATAGGTTGGAAGAAAGCTAGGTGCGGCCAATCCAAAACATGGCACAAGTCCATGAAGTCACTAATAAGTGAACTGAGTCATGTCGATAGGTGTCAACTACGTGGTTGGGGCTCGCGAGATGAAAGTCACCGATGGTTAGAGACCTTGAATATCATGGCTCAGAGTCGTTTGCAATGGCGCAAGTGCATGCACTCTTTGTGTTGTCTCAAATCCTAATCTTCTGGGTTCGTCAACACGTCTGCCTTTGTCTTTCTAAACTTATTTCACTGAACTATACTTCTTGAATAATATCTTTAAATCCTAATCTTCTCCATTAGCAGTAATACTTCTAATATCTCTTCTACTATGGGATTTGCATTGACAATTGCGTCTCTTTGTGTTAACATGGTGTGGCAACTTGAACTGATATACGTACGTACGTACGTACGAAGTTCTACTACGTTGTCACTATGACTAAATGACAACTAACAAAAAAATATCTCTGCCACAGATTCTGATTGTCTTACTAACAGAATTGGTTTTAATTCAAGTGTGTAATTTGAAAGAATTCTTTATGATCATCATTCATCCATAAAGAATATATATGCTTATGAAGAAAATTAATTCATTTTCCAATCATCTATTAGTTTATATTTCAAGGTTTTTATTTTGTTTGTGTTCATTTTTTCCATCATATTTAAAGCATAACAATCTTCTCTCTTTACCTTATTTAATTGTGTCGGTTTTATTTATTTAAACTGGCAACTGAACAGCAACAAAATAACAAATAACAAACTTGATATGATTGTGTGTTGTTATAGTAATTGAATAATAATAACATTAATAATAATATTATTATTATGATAACTACTACTACTACTACTACTACCACATTTGACTATATTTTTTTTCATCACACACAAAAAGCTAGTTGCCGCAATCTAATGAAAATCATTCACTTTCAAGTTGTGTAACCAACCCCTGTCTCAATGATTTTTAATAAATTCTCACTTTCATCAAATAAAATGTGGTTATTGACTATTGGCAGAAGTAGCAGTAGTAGTAGTAGTAGTAGTAGTAGTAGTAGTAGTAGTAATAGTAGTAGTAGTAATAGTAGTAGTAGTAGTAGTAGTAGTAGTAGTAGTAGTGTAGTGAAGGAGAATACAGGTGAGGGCAACCGAATTGTATTCAACGAAAATTACAGAGTTACTCAGTAAAATAGGAAAACCATATCGTTAACGGTTAATTTGCAAATCTTCAATCCATCATCAATCCATCGTCTGACATTTCACTATTCATGCGTTTCATACAAATCCCATTGTGTTCCCACTCTTCTTCCTTTCTTGATCTTCCTCCATCTTCTGCTGCCAGACATTACGTTTACACTCGCGTTATATACTACTTATAAGTAGCGCTCACCACAGTAGTAGTACAGTTAAGTGTTGTTCAATATTTTTGATAATTTATTAACTTGTTCAATGAAGAATGATTTAAAATCTAGTGCTTATTTGAAAATGTGTGAAGTGGTGTCGATTATATATATATATATATATATATATATATATTATATGATTTTATGTGATTGGTGGTTGGTGTTGTATATTCTGACTTATTATTCTTGTATGTGTAAAAGTTAAACTGTGTTGTTTTTACTAGAATCATATAAGTTGCATAACTTTATCGAAAGTGTAACTATGGCAACGAGTGTCTTTGTTTAGCGTGAAAAAATAAATATGTTTGTTTGATTTTTTCTTTCTTTTTAAATGATATAAAAATGAAAATATTCATGATTTAGTGAATTATGATAGATTATGGAGAAATAGTTATTTCTTTTTTAAATGGTAATAAAAACACGAAACATGAAAAAACTTGTATAGGGTTAGTTAATAAAGGTGTGGGGGGTCTATTGTTCTGATTTCAATGTGTTGGTTACAAGTTGGGTGTAACTTAACAAGTGTTGTTTGCTCGTTTCTTCTCTTTATATTATTATGTCACGACATATGGTGTCTTTCATAAAAGTTTATTTTAAATGGTTAGATCTGATTAGTTGTTAGATCCACATTTAAGTTTCGTATACTAGTTGACTCTTAATTTTTTCTATGGTGTATCTCTTGAAATATTATGAAGATTTTTGGTTTTGAAATTTCAATTATTGAAAGCCATGAAGCACTAGACAACGACTTCTTTGTGTCCTAGAACTTCTCGGAAATGAACATCTATAACCTCATTTCAAGTCAGGTCCAGGTCATTGAATTAACATTCAATGTTACTAATTTTTAACCTCGTATTTTCTGGGTGCTTGTAGAATACACTTTCTACGCCTTCTTGATATATTTAGCGGGGTCAGTGACAGACGGATTAGAATAGCCTATCGTGTCACTGCTTCATGGATCTGCGCTCTGTTTACCGAGTAAGGTGAACTCGTAATAGTATTCAAGCATATCAATTGACGACCATTTCAATTTGAAGTATTGTCAAATTATCATATGTTAACATTGGTGTTATATTCTTATCTTTCATATTGACCTTCATGGACAACCGGGAAGTGACATCCGCTCTCATACTTGTAACAGCATACAATATCAATGGCACACAATCAAATCCTTCCTCTGCGACTAACTTTTCTCGTATACATTTATCACTTCACCTCGCTAATGCTAATGATTTGAGTAAACGAACTGTTATTCTTGGTCTCCTGCAGACCCCCTCTATACTGCATGTAGAGGAGCCTTTAATGTTCGAACCTTGTGCTGAATAGAACAACATAGTCTTCAGCTAGTGCAACCAGTTGTCTATTCAATATACTGTGTAGTCCAAAAAGTTGCAAACAACGACAGGTCAAAGGTCAACAGCAACCAATCAAGATCGAGGTTAGCAGAACAAGCTACAGGTCAAACGTGGAGAAATTCGAATGCTTCACTTCTATCTGAAGTTTGTGCTGATGTTGTTCAGAAGAACATCCAGCTCAGAGAACGAAACACCACCACAATCTTCTATACATGTTCAAACGTCAATATCTCTCTTCTTCATAAGTCGCAATACGCACATGTTTATTTACCATAGTATTTATTGTGTTACATTTTAGTTTTATCAAAATAGTACTTTGAGGTTAGTTTTCTTAAAGTCCATTTATTTGCTATGTTCACTAGATATTATGGACGTCGTCTGTTGAGTTCACTGATTCAACATCCTGATTTTGAGAGAACTGCACGAAAACAATTAACTGGTCAGTCTTTACGAGCTGTAAAAGAAGCAACTGATCAAATTCATCAAAAAGTAAGTTGATTTTAAAGAGATTCTTTTTGTCTGAGAAGTGATGTTTTTATTCATCGATAATATTGTGATGTACGCTACTTATGTTCACATAAGTAGTATATGATATCAAATGGAAATAAAATGTCTGACAGCAAAAGACCGAGAAGGAAAGAATGAGAACAGAAGGCGATTTGTAGGTAACGTAAAGTGAACTGAAGTCTGAACAGTCTAAATGAAAGAACACTGAAATCTGAAACAAATAAGGATTGATTTGCAAATGATGATTCACGGGAAGGTTTTGTAAATATGCCTAACAACTCTGTAATATTCGCTTAAATATATTGTTGATGTCCTCACCTGGGTTTTTGTGCACAACAATATGACATAATCTGAATATTGTTTCGTAGAAAATGAATTAAATGATCATTGTCTTACATTTGAACTTTTCAACTTCTTTCCTAACGCAAATTGATCCGCGCACATCAACTCAACGTCATCTGGAGCAAATAAATTTTATCATCTCGGCTTTCTAAAGTATTTAGATTAAATTTCCATGATAAAAACAGACTTACTCGGTGATCAAGCTGATCTCTCTTTAGCAAATGAATTATTCATTGTGACAGTCAAGTGTGGACAGATCCACACTTCATGTTGGGTCTACCAGTTTACGTGTATGCATACACATACTAAAGCATATACTTCAAAAGAACTAAAACAATGGTCAGGGTCTACATCTCTGAGCACGTTCCCCAGACGCTATCATGTTGTTAAACAGCGCAATCGCACGTCATTCACATGACAGTGAACATAATATTACGGTTTTTTAAGTCCTTTTAGTTAACCAATCAGCGAAAGGCATCGAATTGTTTTTATGTGTGTTCTGTTGAAGTAATTTATTTATCCAAAACTTAAGCATAACACCGATTCATCACCGATTCATCATCTCTAACCTCTATATTCAGCTAAATTCATACAAATTTATTTCTGTATCGAATAATTTGAACAATAATCGGTTTTTATATGATTTTATTACTAAACACTTTTGTTTTCTATATTCTTATTGGTGTACTTTCACATTTCAGTATGTAAATATTCACATTATTGATTGGCGGAGAAGTTTTCCAATATTATGATCATTTATAACTATTAGGTGTGTTAAGCTTGTGAATAGTAGTGTGGAAGAGAAGAAACTTTAAAATAAAAAAGACATCAGCTCATGGTATTTATTATTGAGCTATCGTTGTTTTTCTAGTCTTAACATCTAACACAACACAATGCACAGAGTTATTGTATGATTTTGATGAATATATTTGCGAGAAATAATGTCAAATATTCATGATACTTTCTTAGATGTATGATTTTACTCGTAACATTTGTTACACATGCACGTAAGCACGTCATTTGACGATATGCTTGAACTACTACGAGTTTATCTTAGTTAGTAAATGAGAGCGATGATCGATGGTCCGGCGACACGACAGCCTACTCTAATCCGAGCGTCCCAAACCCCAATTGAGTGAAAGAAGAAGACTTGATATAAAGCAGAACATGTATTCTACAAACATCCAGAAAGTACGAGGTCCGAGTCCAGACGAGAATCAGAATCGCGGACTAGAGATCCGGATCCAAGTCATAAGACGTTACAAAAAATGCATATTTATACAGTTAGGTTGAATAGGAAACAACACTTGAAGTATATGACATTAATAGTCAGCACGACCAATAGGTATTGACCAATAGAAAGAATTAGACTTACCAACAATTATCTTAGGATATTGGATGAATATCTTCACATTATTATTATTATTATCATTGTTTTTTCTTCATTCTCTCTCTTGTAATATTATAGGGTGTCGGAGACTTGCCACCATCAATGTCATCTTCAGCTGGTATTCGTCGTAGAGGATTTTCACCAGCAGCGGCAAGATCACGTGGACCTAGTGCTAGTGGTGGTGGTGGTGGTGCTGGTCTTGGTGGTTCCAAAGTTGTTTAACACATCCACTACTACTACTAGTGATACTACTACTAACTACTACTACTACTACTTGTCTGTCATCATTATTTCACTTACATTAATCCCCCCCCCCTTTGCTATTTTGTGATTACACTTTTCCAGTTGTGTGTTTTTTTGTCTTTTGTGTGTCCATTGGCCAATTTTCCATTTTTTCTTACAAATGGCACTCAAAACGACAACAGCAACAACAGCAGCACACAATCAATAAATCAATACCCCCCAGAGTAGAATTTATAGTGTTCTTTCATTTGCTTTTTTCTTCTTTTCTATCCTGTGATTTTTGTTTTCGTTTTTGTGTATCTTGTATTTTTGTAACGCACGCACTCACACACACACACATACACACCATATTTTATATACCTCCCTCCTCTGATCGAAACCAAACCAAACCAAATCAAATCGAACCAAACCAGACTATAGATTGTCACACTGTGTGATGGTGACTTATAATAATACTTTGTTTTTCTGTTTATATAATATAATAAGAAAGCGGTTTTATTTATATTATTTACCCATAGATTTCTCATCAGTTTATTTGTAAACAGTATGTTAGTGAATAAATAATTATATTAGATGAACTGTAAACAATTCCACCCCCCCCACCTTCTTGCCTATCTTCTCTCTCTCTCTCTCTCTTGTTAATTTTGTCTTTTCTATTTTTTTTTCTGACGGTTTATTCTTTATTTTTCTGTTTTCGTTGTTTTACTTTGTCATTTGAAACGCAGGTTTGAATATTTTTATTTCTATTTTTTTCCGACATATTAACCAAACAACAACAACGACTGGATCACGCACACACATTATGTTGTCGTCTATTACATTTCGCACATCCTACATCTTGTTTATTTAACAATTTTTGACCAAGTATGTTTTATCTGATTGATGACAAGACATCATTTCTACTCTGCTTGCTATCATCCAATCATTTATTTACACACAGTGATGAAACGTCTTTTACAGATTTTATTTACCTCCCTCTAATGGTTTATGATATAATTATTTTATTGGTTTTTATTTGCTGCCCCGCATCTCATTCATATGTGACCACCACCCAATGCAGTTGTGAATAGATTGAAACATTGAACAGATAACAATAATAATAATATTTTGTTTCAACAATGCGAACAGTTGAGATGTGAACACTGGCATCCATGCAAATTCATTGCTCACCAACCAACATAATGTTTGTTGTGTTTTATGATTGGATTTTATATATACTTTCGCTTCATACAATCCCATTGTTTATGGTACCTACACTACACATATCTATCTATACATACATACATATCATCTGATATCTTTTGATAGTGTGTATCGATTTCCAACCCGCCCCCCCCCCGAAAAAAATAAACAGAATAAGGAGAATCTATTTGCCTATTTATTACTATTACTATTGATTATTTGTTTATTTTTAACCGACTCTGATTAGGACTCCGTATGTGCCTCGTATAAAATAAGTAGAAGAAGATTAGAAGAAGAAGACAAAACTATTATATCTTATATTAATTATACACATGTCAATAAGAATTCACACTTTCCTATCTCCCTATCTCTCTCTCTCTCTCTCTCCCATTACAAATTGTAATGAAGAGGGAGTGGTTGATTGGTCGGTTGGTTGGTTGTCGTCATCATCACCGAATCATATTGATTTATTTGATTTTGATTTTATTCATTGATGATATCATGAAAATATATACTATAATGATTGTGTGATTATGATTAATTATTGTTATTATTATTATTATTATTATTACTATTAATTAGCAGCATCTCTATAGTTTTGTCTTTTTTTCATTGAACATTTTTACACTTGAATTTGTTACTGTTTTCGCGTGTTTCGATATATATATATATCTACATATATATTTATATATTATAAATGCGCGCGAGACAGAGAATGAATGGACGCAGAATATTAATATATAGACAACACACACATATTTTTTTCTCCTATCTTGATGTAATTTTGTTTCCCTCTCTCTCTCTGATTAATTAAGAAAACAATTGCATTATTATTATATCAATACATTTTATTCAAAAAAAAACAACGTACAATGTGACTCAACATATCATTATATTAACATGAATGCACATATGTAGAAAAATTTAATACAATTAAAATAAATAAATATAAATATATATTTGAATTTACGTTGCATATGTTTTGCCTTTGTGTTTAAATAATGTGTGTGCTTGTTTGTTTAAATTCGTTTTGATGATTGACATCACTATCGGTGCATTAATTACTTGTTATGATGTGTTGTGTATGCTCAACCACTGACTGCCTCAACGAGCAATGTTTGGTGGTGTAGGAATAGGTTGGAAGAATGCTAGGGTTCGGCCAGACAAAAACATGCCAAAAATCCATAAAGTTAGTGACAAGTGAACTGAGTCATGTTGGTAGATGTAGGCCATCTGGTTGGGGTCCGCGATACAGAAGTCACCAATGTTTAGAGACCTTGAACGACATGGCTCAGAATTGTTTTCTCAAATTCTAACCTGAATTCTTCATCCTTTATATCGTTCTCTTTTTAAATTTATCCCACTGAGTTATACTTCAGAAATCATATTTTCAAACCCTAATCTTCTCGATTACTGCTAATACTTCTATTATCACTACCACTATGGGATTTGAACTGACAGTTGCGTCTCTGTGCTGATTGGGTATGGAAACCTGAATTGACGTACGTACGTACGAAGCTCTACGTCTTAACTGACTGACTATGACATAGTCAGTAGACTCAGTTCTGTAGTCCTAAGTTAAGGTGATGACGAATGAATGACATGTCATATTTCGTGAATAATCTGTCGATTAATCTCGTTAATTACAACGTTTGAAATAAATCGATACAGTTATTTTAAGAAGCCTTTACATCTTAGTAGTATAGATAGAAGAAACTACTTTTACTCGTCCTTGATCGAAATCATCAGTACATTTTCGCATATATGTTTCCTTTAGTTAATCAGTAACAATTGAAAGATATTCAATTGGATTTTTTCTTTTTCCCAGTTGATTAATCAAGGATAGGTTAGGGATCAGTTTGCTTTCTTTTACAGCTCATAATAATCCATATAGTAAACAGTTAGCTTATTCTTTTCAAACATTAAAAGTAGTATTTCTTTACCTGATCGTTTCAGTTAATTTCTTTATACTTCAAATGAACTAATAACTTCATACGGTATAGTAAGTTTTAGATTTTATTTAAAAGTGCATAGAATCTGTGTTGAGATTCGTCTGAACTCAGATCTCGTCAGGTAGTAGTATTAAGTAACCATATATTTCAGTTTGGTCTGTATTCCATTTATGTACGGTCCCCTTTAGATGTTGTATTTCAAGGTTTAGTAACCATATTATCAAAAAGTGACACGTAAATTGTAGTGTTACTCATTGGTCACTGATAAGTAATCACTATCCTACTTTGTTAAGAAGTTCACAAATTCTATCCATCATGTTTTGTTGTATTCAATAGATTAAATCATTCAACATTGCAGCTCACTGTCTTAAGCACTAAACAATCAAAAAGAAGTCCTAGTTTTTTCGTTTCTTGCTTAATGTGCACATTTATGAATAAGTGAAGTAGTTACTTCATGATTCTTTGTTGTAATATTTAGTTAAAATCATGTAATCCACTTCTTGTTAGTAGTATAAGGAACTTTTATTTGATATGGTGGTTCTTAAAGGTTAGGAATATTTGGCTGAACGTAAAATAATTACTTAATTCTTATCGCTACTACAAATATCAGTTAAGTTTCCACTAAGTATTTCAAGCGATTATTGTATATATGTCGAGAAACGTTGATACACTGCTAATGGTTAATTCATCAGTAAACTTTCAGTGAAGCAGAACATGTTGTTGATTTTATCCAGCTAATTTATTTTACTTATTGCATCCTATAAGTGGATTTAAGATTTACTTTGAGTCTACTAAATGATTCAGTTAGATTTTGTAATCTAAGTTTTATAAACAGAACTTTGAAATGTTGTTCTAATTGAATAAGTAGTCTTTACTGAATAATTTTCTTTACATTAGTGAATTATCCTACCATAAGAATATTTATAATATCTTTCAATATAAAAGTTATTATTTGCAGGATAATGATTTTCCTTCCTTAGTTGTTGAAAAAGTTTTAGAAAGTTAAGATAATTTGTAGAAAAGTCATCCGTTTACTCTAATGGTAGAGACCTTGAACGACATGGCTCAGAATCGTTTGCAATGGCGCAAGTACGTTCATTCTTTGTGTTCTCTCACATTCTATCTTTCTAAATTCCTAATCATCTCTATCTTTCTCTTTCTAAATTTATCTCACTTAATTATACTTTTCTAATCATATCGGCAACAGTAGACAACTGTTCCGACTTATCAAGGAAACTGGTATTAGGAATTCTAGTGTAAGTGAGACTATCTCGGAAAAGGATGGGACTATTATTTATTCTCAATGCAGGAGACTGGATCGATGGGCAGAACACTTTAGAGATCAGTTCAACTGGCCTCGAGCCACTCTCCAGTCATCTTGAATGGCAAATCGACGTAAGTCCCCCTAGTCTTATTGAAGTTGAGAAAGCGTTAGGAAATCTCAAGCGAGGGCGAGCTGCAGGTCCTGATAGACTGACCCCTGAGATATTTAAGGATGGTGGTCCAGTTTTATCAGCTAGGTGGACTGAAATCTTAGGTAGAATCTGAAAACTGGACGTAATCCCATCCGACTGGTCTCAATACTTGATTATCCCAATTTATAAGAAAGGACAAAAGTCTTCTTGTGACAACCACAGGGGAATAAGTCTAACTAATATAGTATCTAAAATTTTGGCCTCAATAATCAGCGCTTAACGAAAGCTCGTGAAGAGCAGACTCGAGAAAACCAGTCTGGTTTTCGACCTGGACGTGGTTGTATAGACCACATCTTCACACTCAGACAGGTCCTGGAACACAGACACACATTTAGGCGTCCTACAATAGTTGTTTTCCTGGACCTAAAAG